AAATAGAATACTAGGAGAGAACCAGAAAATAAGGAAAGGACCAAGATATCTCTTTAATAAGATGGAAAGACTTTTTTGACTGCCAATCCCTCTGACTATTTGTAAGAAAAAAACTAAGCCGGGTCACAATACGTCTTTGAAACAGTTCAAAGGTGCACTTAAGTAGTACCGTATATCCTCTTTTAACAATGTGGACAAGCGGACACTTACACCTGTTGGAACAATTACTTTAAAAGGAACTGAAGAAAAAAGATGAAGCAAGTTATATGGGGTAATTAGAGTTGTGCCATACTTGCAGAGCTCTTGAAAATCCCGTTTGGCCTGCAATGCAGCTACAGTTAGTAGGCACAAATGACAGGGATTACTGAAGTGTTTAATATGGCCAACAGCCAAGACACAGTAGCTAAACACAGCATGTGGAGAAATAATTGCATAAAAGCCAACCAGCATTTTTTAAAAATAAACAATGTTACAATTCCGTTACACCAAAAATGGGTCAGAAGTAGTACAGGGTTTGTATTTTTCTACAATCCACAATCTGATTTCCGCGTTTCTTCAGTGTTCTTTTAGAGCACTGGTTCCAGTTTAGGAACAATTAACTATACAACTGTAGAGGAATAATAACATTCTCACTTTTAAAAAAGGTATGTTTTGTTGCATTAACAATATTAACAATATGAATTCTAATTAGTCCTACACAAACAAGTAAACAATATCACTAGTTTTCTTCTTCCCTAGAACACAGCATGATTAATGAGCTAAAGGCTTGAGTGTGGGCTTTCAGAAGTAATAGTCACGTTTTGATACTCATGAGTTATTTATCACTGTTGTCATGTCTCCGTTGATTCCTTCCTGTATTTCTGCCAACAACAAAACCTCTAAAGAGACTGTCTCAGACTGGAAAATGTAGTTAATTAAATTAACAAATAAATATAACATGATGTGGGTCAATTATCTACAAACTTAAAAAACTCCACAACGCTGTTCAGATTTTATATAATAATCTGTAGCTCTGTCATATTCTCAGATTACTCTTTACAATGATAGAAATCCATAAAATACATTGATACGAAATCCAACATTGAAATCGCAATAAAATGTTATGAACCATTGAAAATGTTTCATATTCCTGACATGAGAACTATAAATTGCAGGCTTGGAAATCACAAGTGTTCAGTTTTCTTGAATAATATACTTATTTTACGGTAGCAAGGTTATACATAGTGAGGTGGCTCTGTAGCTAAGGATCTGTGCCTGTGGCTGGAAGGTTGCCGGTTCATATCCCACAGCCGGCAGAGGAATCCTACTCCACTGGGCCCCTGACCATGGCCCTTAACCTCATATGCTCCAGGGGTGCCATATAAATGGCTGCCCCTGTGCTCTGACCCCAAGCTTCTCTCCCAGTCCGTGTGTCTCATGGAGAGCAAGTTGGGGTATGCGAAAATAAATTCCTAATGCAAGAAATTGTATGTGGCCAATAAAGTGATCCTATATCTTATAGGATCTTACACTTTTTTTGGATTCTGTTTTGTGTTAATTTTCTAATGGACTACTTGCAATTTAAAAGCTGGTAACTGCTTTTCTGCTAAGACCAATTAGTCAACCAAAACCCACCTTTCTATTCAACTGCCAAGCAGACAATACAGAATTAACAATATAAAGTGAACAATACCAACTACCAGACAAAGACTGGTTGTATTTTGGAATGTATCCACCCTCAAAGCACGCTGACATTTACATCTTCTATTTAAGTTTCTTTTCTCCAGTGGGTAGCAGTTAAAGTTGATTTCATTTAAATGTAAACTTTAAAACAATAACATGTTACACCACAAATTAGGCCACACTTACTGTCCTAACTGAATTTAACATTAAGAAGTGATATTATAAAAAGAAAAGCTCCCTCTTCCTCCAGAGCACAACATTAGAAAAAGTGTGGAACAAAACAAAATAAAAAAGTGCTTTTGAGTAATTGTGATATCCGATATTCATGTAATATGAATGAAAGGCCCACAGGTGGATGGTTTTAAATAAAACGCAATGATTCCATGCCTTAGTGAAAAAGGGAAGAAATACACTCTGGGATAGTGGCTAGCAGGAATATTAAACGAAATTCCTAACGCATTAAAAATCCATCCATTCACCTTCATCAGACTAGAACAGCGCTATAAGAACTCATGAGTGACCAAGACCCACTCATTGGGATGTAGTGTAATACCATCACATTCAAAAGGACTAACTTTCCGATTTGCCACCATACAATATCTGGTGAATACACAGTATACCACAACAGGAGAAACCTTAAATGGTATATATAAAACATGATTTTCTTGGCTACAACAATGTAATTGGAGGGAGTTTTGGAAATCAGTTTGTTTTTGCTGATGACAAACACACAGCACACCTTTGTTAACTACATTTTGATACCTGTACACCACCCATTGTTAAAGTGACGGCAACATTCAGTTATATCCACCACATTATCTTCAAATATGATAATGGTTATCCTCATATGACAAACATTGCTTAAATCCTGCTATATCTACATCTATCTTGAATTCACGTGGAACTGTGCAATACTTCTTCCAGCAACATTAGCACATTTGTTTTTGAGTAACGGTAGAAAACAAAGAATTGATCACTGACATATACTGTAGACCTGAAGACACCATGAGCCATACCACATGTGACTTTTAAACTTGTCAGGAACTTTTTTTTTTTAGAAACAATCCACAATATCACATTGAAAACATACAAAATAAACACCTATGCAATGTTCATCTTAAATCTGATTTGCATTTCTAGAGGGGTTGAAATGTTAATTATTTAGCAGAGCTATTTTACATTTGGAACAAAAAGGCAAAGGTTTTTGATCTACATCAATTAATTTTGTAATGTTTTAAATAAAACATTGTACATTTAAAAAAAGTGCCTTAAGGAAAATATTCAAGCAGACAAATGAGTTAACAAAGATTAAGGATCCTGATCCCTTTAAAGTGGATTAATATACTTGGTGCTTTTGTAACCTGTCCCTACTTATAACACTAAACCTATTAGAACAGCATCTGTGACATCATAGTCTCAATTCAAACTTGATGAGGAAACTCATTAAGCCATTAAAACAACCTTGGATTAATCTGAAACAAGCCAGCAAAGACTTTAATAGAAAGGCAACACAAGCCCAATAATTCTCTGGAGAAAACAAGATATACTGGGGGATTGAAAATAGACCAATGAAGTGCCACATTACCACTCCATTTTGACCTACTATCCTTCAGAATGGCAGAAGTGACAAATTTTAGAGAACACAGAATTCCGTAATGAACAACCTACAAAAAATTGAAAAGAAGGTGTCCATTATTGCATCACAAATGTCTAAATGTGTGCTTTAGGCATACTTAAACAAAAAATATAATTCTGATTAAATCTGCACAGCACTGTGAGTCCGATCACGGAATGGCTCGTAGGTGATTCAAATACCTAACTAAAAATGGTCATGTGCACAGCAGCCGCCAAAAGCTCAACGTAATTTATATTTTATCATTCACATAAAAGGAAATTTAATCAATGCACGAACCAAGTAATAAAAAATAAGGGTCTATCAATGTTAGCGAACATTTTATGATTAACCATTTAAAATGATGCAAAATCAATGATGCCTGCTTTGAGAAAGCACTGCCTTATTTATTAAGATTTTATAGCCTTATGTTAAATAGAGCAATTACCATTAGTGACATCCCCAGACTTCCATTTACCATGAACTAATCCACGTGAAAAACATGTATGTCATATTTACTTCTTTAGCCAAAAATAGATGATTTACAGTATAAAATGTCAAAAGTAATACTGTATACCTTAAGAAGATAAAAAAACACACAGAACAACATATAGCATGCAAAACGTATGATCTGTGAAAGTACACGTACTATGTCATTATTAAGGAGAGTGTGAAAATGATATTTTATTTTTCTTTACACAATATAGTGCAAGGAAATGTAGTGAGAGGCGAAATTCAAACACTCAGACACGGTGGCTTCTAGAAAAACACCCTGCAGTGGGATTAGGGTGAGGGAGGCACTCCCAAGCCCAAATGTAGTGAAACTTAATAAATATAATGTGTGTTGTCCATTTTAATGCCTGGGGTGATACAGACTAAATATCTATCCCACAATAAAATATGCTCCATTGTACTCAGACCAATACAGAAACATATGTCTTGCAGACATTATGCAAACAAAAGATTTGTACAGTTTTCACCAAACATGAGAAACAGAGCACAGAAACGGTACAGATCATAAAAACAAAAAATATTTTTTTGTATAAATGCAATAAAAGATCTTTATCTACTTTACTGTTTTGAGAGAAAATTATAAAAAGGCTACCAAACCAGAAACAATTGTATTCAATTAACCAATTGGTATTGGAGAATAGCGTACTGGGTTACGTCTACACTGTAACTTGCATGTGGAGTTTCAAAGCGCAACAAACCACAAGCACTTTGCTTCAAAATGCCAATGAAATGATTTAAAGCACAAGTGCAATTACACAAATTTAAAAACATGAACAAAAGAGGCCCCTTACTTTGTAGCACACCCCTTGGTTTGTCATTAGCATAAGCTCACTGCTAAACCAAATGTAAAACCCATCTTGTGTCAAAGAGGCACGTGTTTCACATCAACAAGGCATTTCTGTATTCATAAGAAATTAAGGATGAAAGTAACGATGATAAAAAAAGGATTATATGTGCTTGTAATGATCTTCACTAATGATAGAAACACTAACATGGGAACAAGTAATAGGTTTATTTAGGTGTGACCCGAAGAAGGCTCCATGGCCGAATCGTTGCGCTTTCTTTCTTCTCATTTCAGCATGGAATAAACCTATCACTTGTTCCTTTGCAGCCTACGCATGCTGACGCAGTTGCCAACCTGAAACACTAACATGTTAACTTAATAGAATGTGACATTTGGGAAGCCAAGGTCAGCACAGGAGGGAAGTCTTACCTGGATGGTTTTTGGAGCTCATTGTAGAGGTTGTGTCCTGTAGACTGCTGATTCCACTGTGAGGGCAACCTTTAGAGTGGACGGGGGCAGGGGAAGGGGGAGCAGCCCAGCAGACAAGATAACCTCAGAGAGCCTCAGTGCTCCTTGGAGACATAGGAGGTGGACACCATCCGCTGTATAAACTCCAAAGAGACGTCGTCCTCAGCGCACTGGTAATCCGCTCCAAGTAAAAACAGTCCAAGGACTGCCTTTGTTTTAAATTTTGGACCGTTTTCACAACTGCTAACCTGCATTCAGAAAAACAGAGAAATAAACTGGGTTAAGAGAGTGGGGATTTAAATATATACACCTTCATTGAACATTAAGTTAATTGAAAACAAATCTGTATTTACAGTGACAATCCACAGAGTACCCATATACAGAGCAGGGAGTTTAACTGGAGCAATCTGAGTGAAGTACCTTGCTGACGGTATAACAGCAGATCCTCAGCAAAGATGCAAACTCACAACCAGTCCCAAATTCCAAGCCCATTTGCCTTAAAAAAATGGATACCATAGTACTCCTTTTCTCATATGGCAAACTGCATCTTGCTTTTTTCGGATGATGCTTCAAATAGGAATACTATACTTTTTTTTTCTTTTGACATGCAATAAGAACCAGTTCATCTTTTTTTGTGCCAGGGGATGAACAAAAGTGTTAAAGTTATGAAAAATATTGTGACAACCCCTTTTATCTTTACTAGACCCTTTAGCGGCTACTTAAATTATTTTGGATCCTAAGCTTTTTAAAAAAAATAATTAGAACTTACTGGAGCCGCTCTATAGTTTATTATAATTTTTTATTATTTATTATTATTATTATTATTACTATTAAAATACTTTTTCGGCACAATCACATTTAAATTGCATCTCCAGGGATCAATCACAACATATGAAGAGGTACACCATAAAGACTGAATTAATTGCAACATCTGTGCCCAGTCAAGTGACTAAGGTGCACATTTTCAATTCATTCTTGTAGAATATTACTGAAAGTTTGTTAATTTTGGAACTTCTGCATATTTGAGTAAAAAAATATTTTATGATGAACGGTTTGGGGTGTATTTAAGAACTGGTTCAGAAGAGCGTATCTTTCTAATTTTTCCAAACTCACAACATACACATTATCTATCCTTCGTACCAACAAAAAAATAATTTCAACTAAGACTTAAAATCCAAATGTGTTTTTACAAATCTAAAAAGGTAATACTGCATATGTGGCACAGTAACACAGGACTGGGCAAAGAGGACCACACTTCAGCAATTTCAGATCAGCACCCTTAGACATGGAAACAAGTTAGAATTGTCAGAACATTCCTTCATAAAACCAATCTTTAGCTTTCCACACGTTTTAAACCTCTAATATAAAGAGATTGACCTGGTTGGTCTGTTGCACTTGAGAACCAAGACTGGGATTCCTGTTCTAAGGCATTAGAACTACATTTGGTAACAAAAACATGTTACTGTTTAAACTTTCACAAATAAATATGGACATCCACTGCACTGAATCTTGTAAATGAATTGTAGATCCTACTTTACTAAGAAACTAAAATGTTCATTAAAATATATATTCTATACTGTACTGGGACAAACTGGAAGGAAGTTTAAAACAAAAAGTTATTTAGAAGTATTTGTTGCACACAGAGTCACCTCAGATATTTTAAGGTGTAGGTAAAGGGACATTTAAAGGCCATTAGTTTTCATCAGTGTAAAAAAAAAGTATTGTAAAACAGTTAACTAAACTATCCATGACCACATTTGAACTATTTTAAAATGACAACAGCACTGTAACATCTAATCAGATACATTGCATATATCTGCAGAGAGCAAAAGTACGGTGTGCTGAGCAACACGTTCCAAGGTAATTACCAGTAAATACGAAAACAAATAAATTTGTTTCAAAAGAGGGAATACAATACTTCCATGTCCTCTGTGCATTGCAAGTACTCAGCACTGACAGATTTGACAGGCAAACAACGAGCTCACAATCAGCTCAGAATTTAGTGATGGCTCTGCAAAGCTGCCTGCATGAATAGCTTCTGACAGCTTAGCACTGTTATGTAACAGTAAACATCTGCTTATTTCTAGAGGGGGATGAAGCCTCTTGTTCGTTACTGATGCACTCTTCTTTACTTACCCATCACGCTTCCTCTCATTACTGAAACGAAACAAGCCACTGTGCAAGATGTATAGCAAAATTTGTAAAAAAAAACAACAACAGACAATCTTAATATCTACGTGAAGGAAAAATGCTCAGTACAATGCCAGAATACCTGGTCTTCCATGCATTTGGACTGTGAATGAACTAACAGTATACAAACCAGAAAATGTACATTTAACAATATAGCAATGTTGCATTTAGTCGTATTCACTATGACTGTCTGTGTAACTATTTTCAGAAAATATTTTGATAGAGACTCAAACCGGTTAATGTCGATGAATGCTAAAAAGTTCAACGAAACATCCACTGTCCTATGAAACTTCTACTAACTTCCACAGAACAACACTGTATGACCTATACAGTATATTCATATGATTATACTATGTAATCTAATAAGATTTATGATTGTTAAACGTTCTGTAAAGCTCACTACACAGTACAGGTACTAAACAGTGGGAATTTTAAACCTTGCAGCTCCTTGAAAAGAAGTGAAAAGAAATTTGGCGATATTCAATACATTCAGTAATTTTCTAAGGATTATTTTATGTACTTCAATATTACAGCGCACATTTCAGAACTGTAGGGCAGTGGAAGTACACCCTCTATTAGAACAATTTGTTATAGTTTAGCAGTTCCTTTAAGATAATATTGAAAATGAAAAATGAAATGCATTATCAAAAAGGTACTTTTTATTAAACTCTAGAGCAATACCTGTTCAAAGTAGTTTTGCATTTCACTCAATACTAAAGCAAATCAAAACATTACCTGACTGAAACAATGAAAATGATTGTTATTTTTACAAAAAATTTTACAAAAACTATGAATCTGTTGATACTGTTTATATATATATATTGCAAGTGTACCCTAGAGTAATCTACATGTATTTATGAAGCTACTGCAAACTTAAGCTGCTGCATTAATTCCTTCAACATTTATTATTTTTAATGTAACATTTGCCTCCAATTTAAAATGACAAGATAATTGAGTGTGGTTGTGGGTAGCCACTGGGAGTTGTTTGTGCAAACAGTTGCCCAAGGTGTGGTTAAAAGCATTGTATCTACTCACTGTATCTACTCATTTTTGTATATTTTTTCATTTATTCTGATTAAGCCATGTGCAAACAAAATTACCAACAACAACACAACCCATGATTTAATTTTACCTATATAACATTTAAAAACATAAACTGTTAAAAATACTCTTGGGACTCATATTTCTTTATCACATGCCCAGGCTAGATTCAGAATTCACATGGCATCTGCATTTGTTGGCTAAGCTATGGTTGAGTTTGGGGATGACCTTACCGTGTCACCTAGTGATTTTTCTACCTGCTTCTCCATGATTGCAGTAGTCTTTAAGAGGACCTTGCCTTTAATGAAGAATTATTGGGGTTAACATGTTCTAATTATTTTTAAAGGTCAAATCCTTTAAACAAGGATTGAAAAGAAAAGGAAAACTGATCCTGTGAAACAATTAGCCTAACACCTCCGAGATATTTTATTAAAAGCTGATTTTTCCATCCTCACTACATACCAAATGCACAAATCCATATTCTTACCGGAGCCACAGTTAAAATTCTTAATTTTCAAAAACTAACTTTCCTGTTCATGCCAAAAGATTCTGCAAAAGGTTATCAGCTTTTAAACGTGGACTGTACAAATGCATAGAAGTATGTTAAATGATGTAATCCAGATTCCATCATTGTCTTATACTGTAGAATTTATTATATAAACTCTACACAGCATAGTAACATTCTGCATGCCATACAAAATTAGAAAATAAATGTTTATAATAAACAAAAACAAAAGACTATTCTCAAAGCTATATTATTTAATGTTTAATTTTAAGAAAAGGCAAAACCCCCCAAAAAGATGATGACAAGTACTTTTTACATCTCAAATAAATCCCCAGGCAATCTCTGACATATTAATGACTGGTGTTTACAAGCAGTCAATAAATCAATGTTCATACTTGGGTAAACAGATGCATTAAGTGAGATAGTTGAGAACTGGACAGATAAACACAGACTAGTTTAATGTATAATCTGAGCAGTGATCTAAAGATAGTTCATTTGCACACTATACAAAGACAATACACACATGCAAATGGACCTCCTCAACAGAAAAACACAAAAGAAATGTCTGCTGTGTCTCATTACTTGAAAATTTTAATTATGTTTTAATAGTCTGTAATAATTTAATTTCTTGATTTAGGACTCGGTGTGATTTAAAGAAACTACGACTGTCAGCACTTCATAATATTTGAGTTGTGCCGTTTTTTCAGCTAGAAAAAGAGCATGTGTCCATATTTAATAACTGATCATCTCCCTTACATTACATAAAAATATAGGTACTTTTAATTACATTTGATAATTCACTGTAATACTCCGATAACACTGATGGGCTAATTTAAAAAAAGCAAACTTTCTATTAAAAGCAAACATCTAGTCACGGTTATTTACATTTTCTCTAATAATACTAATAATTGAAATAATAATTACCAAAAGAGAACGGCAGTTATACAATGGAGCTAAATCATTCCATAGTTTCCAGTCAAATATCTTATATAGCTCTCATGGTTAGGAAACAGTACCAACATAACACCAGAAGTGGAACATATCTGAGGTCTTAACACAAGTAAGAATTCCAATTGAAGCTAGACTGTGGGAGTAAGGAACTAATGATCCTGCCATGTTGTTGAAGCTCATACCCTGGTTTCTTTAAAGAAACAGCTGGATGAGATCCTTGTATCAATTAACTACTAAGTAGCAAAGGGGCCAGATGGGTCAATGTCAATGTCCTCCTTTCCTTTGTAACTGTTTTTATGTTATGTCCAAACTAACAAAAACTTTCAACAGAGATATTTCAACTCAATCCTAATACATCATGATACTATTTTGCACCCGCAATATGACTATCATCATGAAAAACATAATATATATAATTTTTAATATATATAAATATATAAATTTTAATATAATCAGAATCTTCAAAAATCTGATCGCAGCAACTCAATGTAAACTACTCATGCAAATATTTAGTATAAGTTGTTCCTTCCTGAATACATACAGTATAATGCTTAGGCTACT